CATACACACACATGCCCATAATTAAAATTGTTAAAATCTCTAGGTAAGTCCCAGGTTGGCCTTGAGGGAATCTTGGTCCTCCTCCTCCTCCTCCCAGGGCTTTTCAGGTGCTGAGGCTGACCTTAGGCTGTGGGGAGGAGGCCAGGGGGAGGAGGGCAGGGCAGGCCACCTTAGCAGTGTCCGCAGGACAGAAGATTGTCAGGAAGTGATGGCTCACTCACCAGCCCCTCCTTCCCTGCTGGAGTTCCCTCCAAAGGTCACCATGGGGGTTGGCGAACCTGGTCAGTTGTCACAGATTTGTCCAGTGGATTAGGAGGGGGCCCGGGGTGAAGGGTTTTTCCACCACATGTGGCTCTCCGCCAGAGAAAATCTGCTCTTCTCCGGATGGAGTTTGTCAAGACAGAACAATAACAGGGCACCAAGAGAACAGACATTCTTTCCCACCCCAGAAGAAATAACAACGCCAAGGAGGAAATCTTAGCTCCTCCAACAAATAAGAGCGGGGGGTGGGGGGGGGGGGGTGGTGGTGGTGGTGGTGGTGTTAATAAATTTAGAATCCCTGTATCATTTTGAGAAACTTTGGTATTTTCCCTTGTGCGTGCTCAGGGACTCATGGGCGAACTGCATCTCCAAACACTGCACTATTAGCTTTACAGAACTAAATCAAGGCAACTAGTAATACTTTTTAAATAGATCTTTTTTTTAAAGGATTGTTTTTATTATTTCTAATTATGTGTATGTGTGTGTATGCCTGAGGTCAGAGGTGTCAGGTTTCCTGGTGAGTTAAAGGAGGTTGTGAGCTGTCTGATGTGGGAGCTGGGAACTGAACTCTCTCTGCAAGGGTATGCTGTGGGGTTTGCACACTGTGTGAAGATGTATTGCTGTGATGGTTGTCATAAAAAGCTGAATGGCCAATAGCTAGGCGGGAGGTATAGGCAGGACTTTGGGGGGGGGGCAGAGAAAGGAAGAGACGGAGGAATCTAGGCACACAGGAGACATGGAGAGGAAACAAGAGGTGCAAGATGGAAGAGAGGTAACACCATGTGATAGAACGTAGATTAATATAATTTAAGTTATAAGAGCTAGTTAGGAACAAGCCTAAGCTATAGGCCATGCTTTCATAAACAATAAGTCTTTGTGTCATTACTTGGGAACTGCCAGGTGGGACAGAAAAAGATCCCTTACAAGAGTAATGTCTGTTCTCAGCTGCTGGGCTATCTCTCCGGCTCCCTCAGAACGCCTTAAAATTGCGCAACCTCTTTCTTTCCCGGTAAAGCAAAAGAAAAATCTAGAATAAACAGGAATGAGATTACAACAGAGAATGTCATTTCTACACCTGATCTTAGCCCAAAGGCCAAGAGGTGAGGAGAATGAGGTCTTTAGGGTGCTGCGATTCTCTCAAGAGGCAGGACTCAAGTGGTCACAAAGAAGGGATTGGGGTCTGGAGAGATGGCCCATACATGAAAAGCATGTGCTATTCCTCCAGAGGACCCAAATTTGATTTCCAGCACCCATATCAGGCAGCTTCTTACCTGTGACTCTAGCTCCAAGGGATTTTATGCCCTCTTCTGGACCCAGCAGACCCTATACTTACATGCACAAATACACACACACACAGAGACATACACAGCTAAAGAATAATAGTAATACGCAAGTGGATCTCTGTGAGTCTGATGCCAGCCTGGTGTTCTTATCCATTTCCAGGGCTACGTGGTGAGATTGTCAAAAATAATAAAAGTTAAATTAAATTAAATATTTTTAAAAAGGAAGAATTATATTTTAAAAGAGTCATCTTAAACTGCAGGGGTGTCTACAAGATAAAACCCACCTAGGCTAGGTATGGTTGCAAATGCCTTTAATCTCAGCACTTGGGAGGCAGAGGCAGGAGGATATCAGTGAGTCTGAAGCTGGCTGGTCTACAAAGTGAGTTCCAGAGCAGCCAGGACTACATAGAGAGACTCTGTCTTTGGAGTCCTAGGTTCTGTCCCAAGACCTCCCACCCCCAAATCCTTGTTCTCTACTTGTACTGTCCAAGATAATGGTGACTACATGTGGCCACTGAGCATTCACGGTATGGCTAGTGAGAACTGAGGCTATAAAAGGCATGTCATGTTTCAAAAACTTAGTACAAAATGCTACTTTCATAAATTTCGTTAATATTTTATAGCCTGGTGTGCTGTTCCATACATTGTAATCCCAGAATTCAGGGATCTGAGGCTGGGGCAATCACATTCAAGGTTACCTCGGACTACATAGGCAGACCATGTTTTCAATCAATCAATCAATTAACCAATCAATCCATCAGCCAACCAACCAACTGAGGGCATGTTGAAATGATGTTTTTGGATGCATTCAGTTAACAGAAAGATATGCATGTACCGCCAAGCTTGCTTTCATATGGTGCTGGGTTCGAATCTAATACTTCCAGCAGCGCCAGATGAAGACCATCGGAGCAACACCTCCAGCCTCTTACAGTTTTTGTTTGCCTAGCTGAAAAAAACTAAACTGCACAACTAATAAAAGCTTCACTCTTTTTTCCTTGGAGATGGGTGCTGGAGTCAGGGTCACTTGAACCCAGGGTCAGGTGCATGCTAGGTAAGAACCTACTGTCAAATCACACCTTCAGCCTCATTTCATTATTCTTAAAGACTTAGAAGGCACTGGAATCCCTGGAACTGTTGTGAGCCACCTGATGTGGGTGTGGCCAACTGAATTTAGGGCAGTTTGTACTCTCAACTGTGAGCAACCTCTCCAGTCCTCTCTTTTGGATTTATTATTTTTTATTTTATTTTATATTTTCAGACGGAGTCTCATAATGTAACTCAAGTAGCCTGAAATATGATATGTCATCCAGGCTGACCTGAAACTCAGTGATCTTCTCTCCTCAGAGTCCTAAGTTTGGGGATTATAGGTGTGAGCCAAATGTAACAGGAATTCCTAAAAATGGTCTTTTAATAAAAAACCCAGAGCCAGATATTGGGGTAAATGCTAAAAGATCAGAGAGACAAAGGAACAAGCCACTGCCATGTCTTACCTCCAGGACTCCACAGCCTGAAAAGGCTTCAGTTCCTGTCTCCTCACGCCTTATATAATTTTCTTTACCCAACCATATCACTTCCTTCTTAGTGCCGGGATTAAAGGTGTGTGACTGCCAAGTGCTGGGATTAAAGGTGTGTGCCACAACTGTCTGCCTCTGTTTCTCTCCTAGACTGAGTCAGTCTCATGTAGTCCAGGGTGGCTTTGAACTCACAGAGATCCAGACAGATCTCTGCTTCTCTAGTGCTAGGATTAAAGGTGTATGCCATCACTGTCTGCCTCTGTTTCTCTCCTAGACTGAGTCAATCTCATGTAGTCCAGGGTGGCTTTGAACTCACAGAGATCCAGACAGATCTCTGCTTTTCTAGTGCTAGGATTAAAGGTGTGTGCTACCACTGCTTGGCTTCTGTGTTGAATCTAGTGGCTTGTTCTGTCCTCTGATCTTCAGGCAAATTTTATTAGGGTACACAATATATCACCACAGCCAAATGCCCAAGTGTTCCTCCCTCCCTCCCTCCTTACTTAGAACTCCCCAGACTCTGGGCTGACTGGGTGTAGCCTGTTGAGATTGTTTTCTGTGGGCTTTTGTTTCTGGAAGGAAGAGGGTGCTCTGCTTCAGTGACTTTTCTGTGCCTCTTGCTAAGGTGTGATTTTTTTTCTCCCTGAGACCAGGTCTTAGGTAGCCTGGCTGGCCTGGAGCTCACTAGGCAGCTGAGAATGATCCTGCTGTTTTCACCCATTGGTGCTGGGATTACAGGCTCACAAAGCATACCCGGGGAGGGGGAACTCACCCTGAGTGACAGCAGCTTTGTAAGGAATGAGGGCAGTAGGCCATAGGTCAGTCAGGCTAGGGGAGCCGTGGTTTAAGGAATGGTTTCAGTCTCTAGTGAACGGAAGACTTGGGATCCTCTGCTGTGCTGCCGACTCAGCTGGGGAACCTCAGTTTCCCTCTGGAGCTTTCAGTTTCTGCTTCTGCAAATAGGAAGGGCAATGAAGACTGCTTGCAAAATCACTTCTTATGCTGAGCATGTGGCTCACTCCTGTGATCCCAGCGTGTGAAGGCCAACCAAGCAGGAGGATGGATCATTGTGAGTTTGAGGCCAGCCTGGGCTACACAATGAGCTTGAGGCCAGCCTAGGCTAACAGAGTCTCACAAACAAAAACAAAAACAAAAACAAAAAAATCAGGCATGGTAGCAAATTCCTGTACTCTTAGTACTGGAGAGGCAGAGGCAAAAGGATCAGGAGTTCAAGGCTAGCCCCCACTATATAGCTATAGCCAGACTCTGTCTAAAAACAGCAGAACCGATGAGAAAACAGCAAGTGAGAAAAAGGGGAGAAAATGGAGTGAGAAAATAGGGAAGAGGAATATTACAGCCTAAGAGGACAACTGTTTTTAGGCCGGCCGGGTTACATATCAAGACTTCATCT